AAACCATTTCAGGTGACTACCTCTTGAAGCTCATGGAGAGAATGCCAAGAGTGTGCAAAGCAGTAATCAGAGCAAAGGGTGGCTATTTTGAAGAAACTAGAATATAAAACATGTTTTCAGTTATTTCACCTTTTTTTGTTAAGTACATAACTCCACATGTGTTCATTCATAGTTTTGATGCCTTCAGTGAGAATCTACAATGTAAATAGTCATGAAAATAAAGAAAACGCATTGAATGAGAAGGTGTGTCCAAACTTTTGGCCTGTACTGTATATATATATATATGTATATGTATATCAATACACGCATACATACGTTTCAGAACATGGGTTAATTACCTGAAGTTTTGTTTCCCAAGAAGCCATGTGTGAATATCTCACTGATCCAATCCTGCAGCTCAGTGTCTTTCAGCACCTCACTGTCTGAGGGGTAATAGTACTCCACCACTGCCTTCACAAAGCTGGTGAACACAAAGCAATTTGATTAAATATTTTAAATATTTACATTTGTAATTTTGTATGTGTTTTTGCTTGTAAAATGATGTAGCACGAACTGTTGCAACATTTGTGTAAAGGTAACCTGTAGATGATGTCCCACAGCTTCAGGCCATCATCTCTGTAGTAGAAGTTGGGTATGGACTCCAGTCCTCGTGCAGTGATGTTCTCTGGCAGACAGAGGGAGCTGTAGGTCAATTCAGAGTGAGCCTTTTCCGCGAGCTCTATGTTCCCCTGGAGTCCAGCTGAAGTCTAACAAGGGACAGGTCTCAGTAAATAAAGACATTTTGAAGGTTGATGTGGTTTTCATAGTAATGTTATCAATATAAACATCTTAAAGATCCATACTTTACTCAAAATGCCGTCAGGTCCATAAATAGATTTCTGTCCCATAGTATTTATTTGGAGAGTGTAACGGAAATGAGGGATCAGCAGCTGTACAAAAAGAAAGGGGAGAATATTAAATTCAAATTATCCGTTGAAATGTCACCACCAAGTCAAAGTACGTAAACATTTCTATAAATCAGGCAGCATATAACAGGAAGTACATCCCAACTATCTATCTTCTACCGTCAAAGTCCGCTACAACCAAACTCTCAACAAATGACTTTTTACTGCTCTCAAAATTTTTTGATATAGTCAAGTCAACTTTATTTATATAGCACTTTACACACAAACATGGTTGATCCAAAGGGCTTTTTAGCACACACTATAATCACTCCTGATCATTTCAAAGTCAAACATATGCATCTTTCTGATTTCAGACAACATATTTCTAAAGTTCTGTTGAAGTGAGTGACGCAGGCACCATTACAACAGTGAAACTGTACCTTGTAGAGGGGATGAAACACAGGGAAGCAGCGCAGAGTGGCAACAGTAAAGACTCCTGCCAAACCATGAGAGTTTGTGAAGTGATAGACTGCCTGATGTTGCAACAAGTCTGCATTTTTAATAAACATCTTGGCCAGCAGCCAGTCAGTCTCTGGGTCACTGGGCAGAAAGATGGGGTTCTGCTCAGAGGGTTGTTGATACAGCTGAAATATGGAAAAAAAATTGAAATCACAGTGATGGTCTTTAAATCCAGATGCAAACTGATGACTGTTCTACACAATACAAATGTTCGTAGAGCCTCTGCTTAAAGGAGAAGCACCTTTCTCAAGCTGTCCTCTCATATGTGAGATAATATTGCAATATCTACAAGCTACCTCTGCACAGCTGTGTGTAAGTTGAACACCCCCCACTAATGACACATAACTGGGGGCACAGTGCAGTGCAGCTGTAGTAAAAAAGGGACATTCTCATAGCAGGGTCCCATGTTTCTGTGTGCTACTGCTGTATAATTTAGATGATTCTACAACTTTCCATCTGCAATGTGAATGCTGAAACTGATTTGATCTGTCAGTAAAATACCTGTATTGCAATTGGCATCAGTTTGTTTTCGGGATTCAAGTAGAACATTATGAAACCAGGAGTCACGTGCAGAGATTCACCATCATAAACCTTAGTTGGTAATCCATCCAATACCTTGTAGTCACAGAGGAATATGTTACCTTTCTGTATGGGGAGGAAAGAGAACAGAAGCGTAGTACACATCAAGAGTAGGCCTGAGCAGTATTAGACTATTCTCTTTCTATTAAACTGATACAGACTGTATTTGGTAATATATAGTAGTGAACAACATGCGCCTCCAGAGGTCAGGCAGTCAGAAACAGGTAGCTTAGCTGAGATGATGAATGATGGTGAATGTGGTTGAGATAACATTACAGGACAAATAACACAGAAAAATGCCTCTGCCTGTTTGGGAGTATTTTGGGTTTAGTCCTGAATGTAAAGGTAAGCCAGCAAACGTGGACAAAGCTGTGTGCACTGTTTGCCTCAATAAAGTTGTGGCTAAAGAGGTATCATCGACTGTGTCATCGGGTCCTCCTGCAAGACGGGTTATTATTTTTCATCTATTCATTATACCATGGGCCATAAGTATTTAAACCCAGGAAGACTTCTAAGTACACTAATTGCATATTAAAAACAAAGCATTGTAGGCTGGACAGTGTCACGCATGCTACAATGAATTCTATCACCAAAAGCTCGGCTTTTATGTTTTGTTTTTTTGTCATTGTTTTTACACAAATACCATCATATACCATATACCCCGGTGAAATGTAAAACAGATATCGCCAAAGCCTGATCAAAAGGTATCACAGATTTGTACAGTGAATGAAGACAAAACCTCTTTATAAATCAAAACAATGTGAAGCCATCAAATGGTATAGACATCAAAATATTAAAGCACTTTTCACTGCTGTACAAGTAAACTCTAAAGTTAAAGCAAAGAATATCACCCATTTAAAGCCACTCTTCTTTCATACCTCCATTTCCTTCTGCAGAGAGGTTCCCTCTGCCAGGAACGGCTTCACCATCTCCTCTGTGACTGGAAAGTTTGGGGGAAGCTCTGAGCAGCGCTTGATCATGTTGGGGTTGACTCCGTTCAGAAACTGGGATCCATAAAAGTCGTCTTCCTTCCAGTGCTCTGAAACATACTCTGGAAGAACAGCAACTGGCAAATATGATATCTAATGTCTATCTAATGTTCTACTAAAAGCTATAAGAATGCTTATCCAGAAGGTGGAGAGATTTAGACAAAACCAAAACATATGCATTAGGTCTGCTGGCTAGCCGCTATATCGAGGGTATAACGACGCAACATTTGGATAGATCTTTGCCAGTCTAGCATTGATTACACAGGAAGGTTAGAATAAAGAGGGGAGGACTGACAATAAAAAGGCAACAAGCGTTTTTTTCACCAGTGGCATTCAATTGGAAAAAAAAAAAAGTAGTGGGGCGTGCCTCACGTTTTGCAACCTGCAAAGCACTTTCTGTGAGATCGGGCCGTACCCATGTTTTCCTAAAAACATGTGCTCTGACACATTACACACAGTCATTTGATTCTTTGCTAATACAATATTGGCACAGCTTTTAGGCCAGCAGTACACCAGTTACAGCTTCTGCACAGTGCTTAGCCCAGTAGTTTTCTGTCAGTCACTTTTCATTTTCATAGCTGTCCCTCAACACTTTTTAAACCACTCAAAACATGTTGAGTGTTAAGCCCATTATATTACCCATTACTAACATATTGAACCCATTACAACTCATTGCATATATTTATTTACAGTTGTTGTCTCTCTATTGAGGGCCTGGGCTGCTTTGTTAAGTTTACACATTCATCAGCACTTAGTCACCTGTTATAATGAATCTATAGGAATGACAGTTTGAGGAGCGTAATATAGCAGAACTTAAACAATACCTGACATTTGTGTCTTTTTAGACCAAAAGATGTTTTCCATATCCTCAATTTTTTCCCAGCTTTCAGTGGCTCCAAGCATCCCCTTAAACATGAGCTCAGCACCCCTGAGATAAGGAACGGTAAAACAAAATGCAGATAATTAAACAACAAAGTGACATTAATGCTCCATATAAATAAAGCATTGACTATATTGAAATCACTGACTCACTCACATTACGTTTTTTGTATAAAGAACTTCCATTGTCTTGGACAAAGAGAAGCAGACTTCTGATGGGAGCTCAGATACATCTTTGAAATGACTCTTGTGTGGTAGCTTTTTATCAGAATTCTCCCATCTAAAAATGGAAAAGCAAAACAGAAAGTTGCATAAAGATTCGTCCTGGTAGGCATCTGAGACGAACAGCAGCTGTAGAAATACACATTAAAACTTACTGGTACAAAGTCTTTTTAAGCATCAGCTCATTTTTCCTGTGGTCAGTCAACAGGGGATGGTCGTCCTCAAAAACCTTCGTGGCTGAAGCATACAAAGAACATAACAGCAGGAAAATTTCAAGGACAAAACTAGTAAGATAATTGGCACAATTATTCTGAGGAGTGGAATCCAATAATTTTCTAATTATTTGGGGAAGTTGAGGCAGACCTTTCCCTCCTCTCAGCTCCACCAGTTCTCCCCTGGAGATCCATCTGTAACAGGGGAAAAGAATGGCTTCTCCTTCTGGAGTCGTCACCACTATTTTGGAGCAGAACCACTCATCTTCTGGGAGAAATAAAAAAGGATCTTTCTCCACTTTGACCAGCAGAAGTTTCTCCAGAGATGAACTGGTTTTCACGGTGTA